ATGATGTGTGCTCTCATAAAACACGCATCCCAACCAATCAGGAAGTGCGGGTTCATGATGTGTGCTCTCATAAAACACGCATCCCAACCAATCAGAAAGCAAGATCTATAACACATTATTATTATTATAGCACGCATGGTAGTAGTACATATCGTATTAGTGCTTACCAGGCCTTTAACAGCTTTGTCGAATACATTGACTACAGGCTCAGGTGAGGTTGCTACGCTCTCAAAGCTGCATTCGATGTTCTCCTACAAAAAAAAAAAAAAAATATATATATATATATAGAAATCAATAAACTATTATAACAGATGTTTTAAGTTTTATTCAGTGACTCAGGATTTATTTGAAAGGGTGTAAAGTGGAGGCATTGCACAATAAGCGTTAAACCACGAGGTTAGGTTTACCTGGGAATATCGTTCCATTTGCGCATTAAACACAGTATGATGGAAGAACTTCTGGAATCTCTCTGATTCATAGTTATGACAAAGGTCTTCAAAGGATGCCCCATTTTCTTTGACAGCTGTTGGAGGGTTCTGGAATCCTGGTGCATCTAGTATGTGCATTGTTGATACACTACGAATACCACACTGAAGGGACCTGAAGAACAAATCATCAGAATGTTAATCAACCACTCGAGGTGGAATAAAAGAGAGGACTGAAAAAGGCAGACTAACATTCAATATATATTATCAATAATATATAATAGGTTAATAATATCCTAACCTGTTGATAAGTCTTACAAGGGCATTAAAAGCTTCCTGGTACAGCCCTATAGCAAAGCCTTCCAATGCTTCAATATAACTGGCTGCCACACCCTTGGCATGTCTCTCAGGGGTGGCCTCTGCTGAGGAAGGAGGAGTTGGGGAATCTGTCTTGTTCCTCATTCGAATGGTGAATTGATTGACAGGGGGTGGAGCAAAGATGATCTCAGACAGTTCTTCCTGTGTTGTACCGATGGCTGATGCTGCTCGTTGGACGGCAGCAGGGTTAGAGAAATAGGGTTTGTTATCTGAGCCTAAAAAATGATGAAGAAAAAAGTGAGAAAAAATAGGACATTTTTGAATTGCACCATGTCTTTTGACTTGGATCATTTGGAAACCAAAACCATCAAGTGAATCAAGTGAATAAGAGTGGCATACCAGTGTTACACTCTCCTCTCACCTCTGGGGTCTCAGGTTTGATTCCTGGACTTGTGTTCCCTTGATTCAAGGGTTTTTCTATCAGTCCTTCTGTTTTAAAGTATTAATATATTCACAGCTAGACAGACTCACCCATGGTAATACCAGCACCTCCCAGGTGATAGATAGCTGCTAAAGTACTCCAAATAGCTTTGGATTCATCAGATGTGATCCCCAACATGTTCAAAGCAAACTCTATCTCTGTCCATTTTTCTGACAACTTGTGGGTTTCAGCAGCCTGGAATCAAGAATAACCACTGGGTATTATAATATTCAAGGAATATTCATTCATTCATCTTTTTGAAGAATTAATTCATCTCATTAACTCCCATCCATCCATCTGTCTGTCTCCATGTTCTATCTGTCCGTCCGTCTGTCCATTTGTCTTGCAATCTTTCCATTTTTTCATCCATCCATCCATTTGTACTGAAATCTGTCAAAACATTTATCCATCCATCCACTCATTGATTTGTATTAAAATCTATCCCGCAATTCATTCATCCATCCATCCATCCATCCATCCAATATTTTACATGTACAGGCCTTGTTACATCATTATCCAGCACAACCAGCATTGGAGACTAGTCAAGGTATAAACATTACTCACTCACCTGAGGATCAAAGCCAGAGATGAAGTCATTCATTTCCTTCAGTGCTTTATCAAGCTGAAGCTCCTTCCTGTTGGCAAAAAAATGACCTCATAAAATACTTCAATAAAAGAGCATTGCCAAATGCACATAGACATTGGCTATAAACATTTTATCAATGTTTGTTGTCCCAAAAACTGCCTGGAATATAATTTATATGATTAGAATATAAGGGGACTACAAGTAACTGTCCATGCCGTTATAAACAATAGTGTCTAAAATGTTTGTAGCTTTTGTTTCCATTCTTTTATTTTTTTCTTTCCCCTACCTGCTTGCACAATTCCCTCCCCCCCCCCCCCCCCCTTAAAATATATTTTTTTAACAATACTATTTTACACATATAATCTAAATTAACAAATAGTAGGTATGGGTGAGGAACAGTGAGATAAAGGGAGGAGGAAGGATGGGGAGATAAATGGGAAATGAGAATGGGATGAGAGGAAGATGTGAGGGAAGCTATATACTGTACCTAAGCTTTGGGTCACTACCAGCCAGAAGATAATAAAACACATGGAAGCTCCCTTCACCATCATTCTGCCGCACAACTCTATACTTCTCAAGGAGGAATGTCTACAAATTGAAATAAGAAAAGTTAGCACAGTTTCATTTGTTTGGTTGAATAGGTACAGCCACAGTAGTTTGGAAAATATATTCCAATGTAGATAAAATGAGTCTTTCTGATGGATGATACCTATAATGGATGGATTGGCCAGGACAATACTCCTAGATACAATGACTTAGGGTACTCTAGAGTTCCTCTTATGATAAGCCCTTAGCTATATAGGCTCAGGCAGCTTTGTAAGGATTTTTGGGTTTGGGGCTTATATAGTATTGGTAGAAAAGAATCCCTTACAAGAGGGGATGATGGGAAAGCTCTGAACCTACCCTAAAATTGCCCCGACTATGAAAACTTGGGTGCTTTCCATTAACTTGAACAGATTGAACTGAGCATCCAGTTCTCAAATGTCTACCATTTGGAAACTGGTCAGTCTGACCAATCAGTTCTGCTCAATGGAAAGTGCTCCTTGATTTCACCTTGGATATTTGAATCTTTACCTGTAATGCGCCACAAGTAAGCATGCCAGCCGAGTCAAAGTCCAGACTGGCAAGTAGTGTGAATCTGGAAGCATTGTTGTTCAGATGAGTTGAAGCATTGCCAAATGCCTCCAAAAGAGCAAAGATGCCTTCAAACTTTTGATCTGATGGTACAAATAGGATCACAGATGATTCATGTGTCACATGCAATTGATATATAAGTGGATGGATGGATAAATGGGATGGGATGGATGGGATGGATGGATAGATGGATGGATGGGTAGATTGGTGGATGGACTGATGGCCGGAAGGACAGACGGATAGAAGGATAAACGGATGGGTGGGATGGAAGGATTGATAAGTAAAATACATAATGTTGATGAAATAGTAGTAGACTTCAAGAATTTGGACAGAAATTCAAATAGAAACTTCTCCCTTTCCATCATACTAACCTGTGACAGGAGAGTGTTGTGATGCCGCAGTGACTGACAGGTAGTGTAGGATATGTTTAGCACATGTTGTCTTACCAGAACCTGTACTACCCATCAGGACTATAGACTGGTCTACTCTTGATGCCATCATGTTACGATATGCTGTCTGTGCTGCAGCAAAGATGTGTGGCGGCATATCTTCTTGCTTGCAGCCACGGAACATCTGAATGACCTGATACCAGAAATATACAAAGATTTAAGCAACGTAATTTATGTACTTTGAAAAACATTTTCAATTTGATATTTGCACACTATAAATTAATAAATTAAATTATTTAAGTAATAACATTATTTGAATTAAAGAAAATAAAACAAAAATTCCACTTGTCATGTACCACTTGTCACTCGTGTTTTGTTGTATATCCACTCATCTTAAGGCTTGTGCGTATACTAGAAAATACAAGTGCCTGATGGGATA